TTTGTTTCTTCGTGTGCATTCATGAGAGTATCCCAAAAAAAATTCGCAGTTAGGCAACTAGATATTCGGTGATACTCATCTGGTCCAAGGCCACCATTAAGAATAAACCTAGCTTTGGCATTCTTTTCAAGAATCTTGAAGTCAGCCTCCTCGTATTCACTCTTTTCCTTTTGTGTGTCGTTATTTTCAGCATCCTTCTTAGTTGGGTATTCTGGTCCATCAATAACTTTATTCCAAAGTTCATAATCCTCAACTTGAATAAAAGCTTCCATCGTTGCTTTCCACCATGAGTAATACTGGCCATTAAATGACATAGGCTTGTTGATATCTTGTCCTTCACAATATCCGAGTGGAGGTGCAGAATTCATCTCGATCTTTTTGTAAGTGGTTAAACTTTTGACAAGAAAAACCCGCTCTGATACCAATTGTTAATCTCCACGACCTAGTACCAATTGTTAATCCGCATGACTTTTTGTCTAAGTGTGAAACAGGTTGTCTAACGTGTTCCAACAAAGCAGTAAGGACAGTAAGTAAAACACAATATTTTTACGTGGAAAACACCTGGCTCAAAAAATGTAAAAACCACGACATGTACCCCTACAGGATTTAACTCCAACTTCACTAAATCACTGAGCTTCCACAGAAAATAGATTACAAACTTTGCAACCTACGAAACTAACTCTAATTCCTAACCTTCAACACAAACCTCCCAAGGTATATATTCCTAACTCTTCGAGTTATCACAACCTGAAGACAACACTTCTAATTCAGTTTATAACTCACCGAACTAAGATTACATCAACACTCAATCACAAAGAAAAACTCCTAACACATAAACTCTGTAAAAGCATCAGGCTCTTCGATGTGTTACTTCTATGTGTTCCTTCAGTTCGCTGGTAGCACTTGCGAAGTCAATTTCTCAATTGCTCTTTTTGCTTTGTAAGTACACAAGTATTTTGAACGACTTCGCCTCTATTTAAGCACAATTCTTCATAGAGTTATTGTTTACTTCAAACTCCTCATTGACTTAGAGTTCTACTTCAAGGAAGACTCCTTCTTCAATTCAAACTCCTTGCTTCTTTAAACTCCTTCTTCAAATTACGTTTATTGATTCTTTTGTATTGTAGTCAAACTCCAACACTTCAATTCAGCAGTAACTTGAAGAATTCTACTTTAAGTGAGACTCCTTCTTCAACTAAAACTCTTTGCCTCTTTAGACTCCTTGTTCAAATCGAACTCATTGATTCTGTCTCTTCAATTCATCAGATGATTACTCCCTTGGGCTTTCTCACGAAATTAGCATTTTATCCATTTCTTTATTTCTGCACTCTTATCTTTATTCATCTTAAAAGCTTTTTCGAATTCAACTGCTCGTACAGTGTACCTTTAGACCATATTGACTGACGTGTTTCATCTTTCTTTGTCAATCATCAAAACTGCATAAATCCCAACATCTATGATTAATATCCTAGAATTTCACACATGAGATTTGAAATTCCAACACCATGATCAGTTTTCAATTTTATAGGTTGAAAGGTGATGATTATTTGTGAATTTTATCCTTTAATAGAAGTACTATATAATGTTAACGATAAAATCAACAATTTCAAAAAGTTAATATTAATTAGCGCAGTATGACTTAAATGTTCATTTTTATGCTTCACGGATTAACAATTCATTTTTTAAAATTTATTTATTTTATCTTGGACTTTGCTATATGAATTTTATAATATAATCATGAGTTAGTTTTGCCAAATGCTACCTCCTAATAAAAGAAATTATTTTTTTTATTCGATGTCTGATATTCCTATTATAATTTGATTAAAATTGCATCAATTCCCAAGGCGATGCGGAGAGAGATCCCAACCAATCTCCATCAAGTGGAGTCTTTGTGTTCGATAAACATAACATGACACCTATATTAAAGATGAAGCAAAGTGAATTTTGCTGAAGTCCATAAAATTTGAGATTTTAAAAAAGTTGATAATATAATTTGAAATGTATATCGTATAGTATTCGTAATTTTTAAGTTTAATAACCTCTTAAATAAATTAATATTAGTTTGACTTTTGGTTGTAGGCATTGATTGATTAGTAACCATGCAAAGTAACGGCTTGCATGTCTAAAAAAAAATTCCTCCATCTTTTCCTCAACTTCTAAGTTCTGACACATTACGACAAAACAACTTTTAACGGTAATAAATATATAAATAAAAAATGTTAAAACTTTTACCTGTTGTAGTTAATTGTCATTGAATTCAATATCGTTATAGACTTTAGAATATATAAAAAGAGTGTTAATTATTGCTATAAATATATATTTAAAAATAATTAAATAATTATCATTAATTAATTACGCTAAAGATATTTTTGGTGCAGTGACATGCAACACACCTTTTTTTTTCTTTGGAAAAGGTCTAAAATTGCATTTTGGGATTTGCGAAATAATCTACTTTTAAATTTCATTTATAGTTGGGATTAATTATGTCATCGTCGTACAAATATTGACACGTATTTATTTTTATTATTTGTCAACTCAACTAATGTGATTATTACAAAATAAAACAAAAAAGGGGAAAGGCCACATTTTGATTATTGCCTATACGATTTACAAAATTGTCCAAAATTACCCTTTATTTGTTTGAGATTGGCGAGCTTATTTATATTTGCTATATTAATGAAAAATTGTTTGGGGAAATTTACATAAATATACTATATTAAAAAAATATTTACCATTTATAGCAATGGCATTTTTTTTTCACTCGATCACTTTTAATACATTTATAATATTGTTTTAATATATATTATAAAAAATAATTTATTATTCACATATAATACAAGTTTTATTGATTGATTATACATTTATCACGTATTTTAATACATTTATAATACAATGTGTCAATTTCTTACAAAACAAACATAATATATCTAAAGAAACAGTTATAATACATATATATTGCATACATAATTCACTTTTAACACATATTGCAGATTTAACATAGCATTGCTATAAATGGTAATAAATAAAAAGAATCGCTAAAATCAGTAATTATTTATTAAAAAATACTCATCCAAGTAATTTTTCCAAATTGTTTTATATGCGAAACAATCTACTTTTATTTTATAGTTAGGGTTAATTATACTATAATCTTCTTATGGTTTACTATTCAATGGTCCCAAATCCGGATAATACTTTAATGTGAACACAATTATATCAATATCTATACTTTATTCGTTCTTAATATTTGTCATATTTTGTTTTATACATTCATTTCTTTTTAAAGAAGGATAATAAGACTAAATTATTCGTATTTATTGCCTCTTGTTATATATATTTTTTTCCATTCATATTATTTATATTAATATCTCTCCATATTTGTGAGCAAAGATAAAAGATGGAACAAACAATTAATTATATCTTAATTTTTTAAAATAATAAATATTATAAATTATCTATTTTTAGTAAAAATGATACGAATTTAGAAACTGAGCAAATATCTTCTAAAAAAAGAATGTGTAACCTACAAGTACAACTAAGAGAGAGTTTAAATAGACAATCAAGTGAAAATAGAAAGAATATATTTAAATTGTCTTAATATATGCTACCCCATTTGTCTTAACCTTCTTGTCAAATATGGAATATTTCAAAAAAAGTCCGTGATAAATTTGACTAAATTTCATTTTATATTTAATCAATCCCTTCGTTTCAATTGTTTATTTGATTTAATTTGACTTAATACATAATTTAAGAAATGAGAAACTTTTTAATTTTGTACTCTTTAGCAAAACGCTCTTTAATATTACAATCTTAAACAAGTTAGGTGGAAAGTTGAAATTAAATAAAAAGTTATCCCAAAAAGTTCTTTCTAAATAAACTAAAAAAATAAGATAAATAAATTAAAACGGATAAAATACTATTCAAATAAGGAAAAATCACCCATTACACTTCAAATAAATAGGTCGGCTCTTTCTTGTTACCTTTTGATCAATGGAAGTCCTAACAATAGTATCATTTTTTGTCTTAACTATAGTATTTAACTAATTGTCTTCCATCGTGAGAAAATTGATTTGATTCGACTTATATGGTGAAAGTTGCATAAAGAGTATATTTGGACATTTTTAATTATTTAGGATCATGCTTAAAATAATTATTGCATCCGACATATATATAAACCAATTTGAAGGAGGGACAAATATGAGATGAAACCAACGGTGCAAGCTTCCATATAATACAAATACAATATTTTAGGTATAACATATAAATACACTATTTAACGTGTGTGTAAACTAAATACACTAGTTACATAATAAATAACATATACAGTATATAGTATTAAAATAGGAACAAATATGCCACCTGGTATTAGTATAAACTAAATGTTTAGAAGTTAAAAATTTTGATTACTTTATTTTGATTGAAATGTATGTATTTGAAATTTAATTGATTATCAAAAGGAGTTGTTTGTACTTTATTTTGAATATATATATATATATATATATATATATATATATATATATATATATATAATGTGTTAGTATGATACAATTGAGATCTTTTTGAGTTGTCGAAGTCATAATACGCTATTATACGAGTATATATTAGTCGAGGTTGAACAAACTATGGTTATCGATTTACCATACCATAGAATATCGAAACCATAAACTTCAAAATACCGAATTAAATTGATGTGGTAATGGCATAATGTTTTAAAAATCAAATATCGAAACTACAGTATCGAAACTTTGAAAAATCGTGTCGTACAATACCATACTCACCCCTAGGTAAAACGTCATATGTGACACAAAATTGTTATGTAAAATGCTACATAGGACATAAAATTGTCACATAAAACACTACGTTACGTGGGATAAAAAGGTCATTGAGGGGCAAAAATGTCTTTTACCGCATTTTCCTCTGGCGTTAAGTTGGCGGTTTCTTCTCATAGTCGTATGCATTCTACAAATTGACATTTCAAAAACGTTGATCTCTCCCTGCCTTTGTTGCCTCTTTTCTTCCTCAATTTTCTCTCTTCTCTTTTTCTCTCTCTCTCTTTCCTCATTCCACCGATCCAGATCTCAAATCTTCGAGAGAGTGAAAAAGAAGAAGAAAATTGAATAATAATGGCGGCCGTATCGCCATTAGCTAAGTATAAGCTTGTGTTTTTGGGCGATCAATCTGTTGGAAAAACCAGCATCATTACTCGCTTCATGTACGATAAATTCGATACCACCTACCAGGTTCATCACTTTCACCCAATTATTTATTTTGATCCTGATTCGACATTACAAGTATATTTGTTTTTGGGATCTATGCACAAATAGCCGCACAAATTTACTGTTTATTATTTCTAGCATGTATACATGATTATATATATTATACATTCATTGGCTATTTTTAGTTTAATTAGTGGATGGACGGTTATTTAGATTAATTTTTTCAGTTTTCCCCAATAACACAAATATTTTGTGGATTATCAATGTTTTGATTTTATATTCCTTACCGTTTCAATTGTATTGAAATCCTCTACAAATTTTTTTCCTTTTTTTGGTTTTTTTCTTTTTTTCTACATTGGATAATATAGTGTATCAGTTAAGTTTCAATGACAAATTCCTTTACTCCTATTGTTTTGGTACTTGTTATTTATTTGATCCTCAATTTTCTTCGAAATCATGGTCAAAATTGTATCTTTTTTTTTGTTGTGTTTTTGGTATGATTTTGATATTATATCAATTAAACTAGATTTGATTACAAATTAGTTGGGGTTGACTGTATGCTTACATTAGATCAATCACAATTTAGTTAGAGCCAACTTAATGAATCATTTATAATAGGCGGAGCCAGGATTTGAAGTAATGCTACAAAATTCATAACTCATTTTAGTTACTGGGTTCACCATCAAATATTTATACCTATGTAGTGGATTTCCTGATACAAATAGAGGATCTAAGCAAAACTTTTATTGGATTGATCTGAACCCGTACCTATTATTGTAGCTCTATGTTCCTATCCTCTGATTGAATTCCACTCGATTGTTTCGGTAGTTATCAACCTAAAATGACCCTCTTTTGATTTGGGATCAGGGTGGGTATAACAAAGCACACAGGGTGGAGGTGATTCTATATTTAGAAGTTATAACACAAAAACTTTTGTGTTTTCTACCATCGTTTATGTGGATCAATTGTATAATATTGACCTCAGATGAGTTTAGATGGGTAACATGGCAGTGAGAATTCATATAGCAAATCCTAACTTGCTTGAAACTGAGGCAAAGTAGTTGTTAGTGAGAACTCCGTAGATAATGCTTTGCCTGTTTCTCATTTTTGTCAAAATTTGAGTGACTTCCTTTGTTCTTTTAGGATACAATTGTTGGATCTTGATTCCTATCGCTGTTGACTTTCAGTTCTCATGTCATTCTTTGTTTTCAGTTAAATAAAAGTTCGTGCTGCAATTAGTTATGTGGGAGATTGAAGTTCTGATCAATTGAATTAGTATCAACCTCTTGCTTACCATGTTTCTAACTGTGCAGGCTACCATTGGTATTGATTTTTTGTCCAAGACAATGTACCTTGAAGATCGAACAGTTCGCTTGCAGCTCTGGTAGGCCGTCTTTCTAGATTTTCTTGTTTAGATATCTAGATACCATTTTCTGCTATTTTCTTTTTTTGCTTGGCTAAAATTGCAATTTTTCCTTTTCAGATTTGTTGCCTAAGAATATACTACTTGATAATGTGAAAGGGAACTTAGAATTGTGTAGTTAGCTGGAAGAACCTTTATTGTACTTAGATTGACCTTGCTTACTATCATTTGGGGTTTAGAAGAAACAGAGACAGAGAGTTTTGATTAAGCATGAATATTTGATGGATACTGTACAAGGTGACTTTTTTGACGGCCGCAGTTTTCTACTCCTGCTAATAGTTTAGCACATTCATTGTTGGTACTATGGGGTCCTAAAGCACACGAGAGATTTTACTCATTGGTGTCAATTGGGGGGTCTGTACGTGTTACAGTTAAGAAGCTGGATTATCTAGGATACTATATATTTCTAGTCTTAGAACCAATTTTTTTTTTAATTACGGGAGAAATGAAATGCTTTAGGACCAAACATTTACTGGTACAGTTGAGATGAAGTGTGACCATGCCTATTCAAATGCTTGCATCTAGAGCTAGAACATATGCTAGTTTTCCCTATTCCTGGCAAAACATTATACAGATAAGTACAAAAAGTAATCTATTTCTCAAATAGAATTTAAGTCCTGTAAAATTGTTAACGTTCTATTATGATTTTGTAGATGCTGTTGCAGCTGGAATTATAATCATCTTACTGACTGATCTAATTTGTTTGTTGACTGTTCATTTTGTTATTTTGCTAATGGTAGTATCTTCATGTGTACAGGGATACTGCTGGTCAAGAAAGATTTAGGAGTCTTATTCCCAGCTACATTAGAGATTCTTCTGTCGCTGTAATTGTGTTTGATGTTGCCAGTGAGTAATTGATTGATTATTCTTTATACAGTGTTTTACATATATCTGTATCCTTTGTGGCCTCCTCGACAATATTAGGATTGTTGAGCAAAACTGAAATAGAAGTTTCTAAGGAAGTCAGTCTATTGGTTATCCAATGCAGTATGGTATTTGTCTTTGATTATTCTCTTCTTCCTTTTTTATGTTCCGTCATATATTTTTTCTGATAAATCATTGCATTCGCAGACCGTCAATCATTTCTAAACACTTCAAAGTGGATTGAGGAAGTACGTACTGAACGGGGAACTGATGTCATAATCGTTCTTGTTGGGAACAAAACTGATCTTGTCGAGAAAAGGTGGGGTTTGCAGTGGTTGCTTCTTTCATGGATTCATTTCTTTTGAAATTGCTTTGCCCACTTATCCATAGCTGTACCTTTTTTCGTGGTTTACCTTTCCCTGTTTTATTTAACATTGGCATGATCTGTACCATGGACTAATTCGTTTCTGGTTAGGCCTAGTAAACCTTCTAGCTTCTAGCTCCTTAAGTAAACATAGTCATGCCTAGAGTTTTGCTCTCAACATCTGTATTGGTATGAGATTCTGTACACAACTGAAAGAACAAAAGGTTGCTCTACGATAACAACTAAAGCAAAAGCAAGTTCCACCTTTACCGATTAGAAGGCTAGTGTAATAGCGAAAAGAAAAAGGATATGACGATAGACTCCAAAGAAGATACACTTACTCACACCCTAGTCGGATTCGAAACCAAAAATTCAGTGCACCTTTAGCTGACTGGGAGGACTCCGTGGAAATTCCTCGTTTAGAGAAAGCTGTACAATTAACAAAAAGAACGGACAATGAGTCTTGAATATTACTCCTATTTGAAGAGTCGAGGACCTCCAATTTTATTCATTCTTGTAGAGAAGAGCTTGTGGCTCGAGAGAATTTGAGCCGACACTTTGTTTTGGGCATGTGCTCTTGCCAATTCTCTTATCTATTTTCTTTCAGAAAAATAGAACCTGATTTTAAAAAAGATTATTGATAAGGGGAAATTGGACCAAATTGATGTCAACCTTTTCCGCTATTTCTCTGATTTGGATGATGATGTTTAAACAGGCAAGTATCCATCGAAGAAGGCGAAACCAAGGCTCGTGAATTTAACGTAATGTTTATAGAAACTAGTGCTAAAGCTGGATTCAATATCAAGGTACAGAGTCCTCTTCATCACTTAATATTTGCACATAACATAGAGTTGAGTTCATGCTTTTATAGTTGTTTAACTGATAATCTGATGACCCTATAATGTGATTGAATATTACAGCCTCTGTTCCGAAAGATTGCTGCTGCTTTACCAGGAATGGAAGCCCTTTCGTCCACGAAGCAAGAAGACATGGTGGATGTGAATTTGAAGCCTACCACAAGTTCATCTAATGCAGAGCAGCAAGGTGGAGGTTGCGCGTGCTAGATTTTGTATGTAACAAGAGAGATAAGAAGTTGGACATACACAAAGATGCAGTTGCATCAAATTATATCATAATATATATAGATGTTCAATTAGCTCATTTTGTTAGATCATTATGAGGTTTGGAACAATTTTGGGTTTTTGTTCATGTTGTACAACAAGTTCTTTCAATTCTGATGGTGAGATAGCTGACAATTATGTTGTTACTATTAAAACTTGTGATTATATATTATGTGATGTGATTCCTAGTTCAGGAATCTTTTTTTTTCCCTTCTCTGAGCAAAATATATAGTATGATGAAATGGTATTTGTTGTATCATTTCAATTTGTTGTGATACCACCTTGTGTCAACATAAGCTCAAGTTCCTTGGTAAAACTGAAATAGTGGGCGGGTGCGTGAGATTTAAACTTAATGAGTTTAATCTTTAAGATTTTTAGCATTGAATTCATTGTACTGTAAGATGCATAGTTGAGTTCTCAATGACTTGTAGAACTATGATGGCATATTCTTTATTATTTCCACAAGTTTCTCATAGGTGAAGTGAGAAAATGTGAAAGAAGGCAATATTGCTCTTGCTCTTGGAAATGGAGATCACACAAGGAATATGGTATACTATATTATAGAAGACTCTAGGATGACTACCAATGTGCCAATAAGATCACTACTAATGTCCAATATATTTATAAAATATATAAGTGGGCCCCCACCATCTTCCACTTAAATACTACATATTATATATTATTAATTACTATACTATAAATCACTACTAATATCCAATATATTTATCAAACTATATAAATGGGCCCCATCACCTTCCACTTAAATACTACATATTATATATAAATTACTATACTATAAATGACTTAAATACTCCATATTATCTATTACAATAATTAACAATTATTTGACACTTTAAATTCTATCAATGCCATATAAATTAGGATAAAAAACCTAACATATAATATTTAAATATATTTAAAAATAATATAAGTAATACTATACATTACAATAATTAACAGCTTAATTATTTAAAATTTATATAAAAAATTTAATTGACTCTCTAAATTCTATTGGTACCACATAAAATGGATTATATAATAAACATATATTGTTTGAAATTGACGAAAAAGAAACAATAAATTACAATAATTAATAAGAAAATAGTCCACTCCAAAAAATCTATCAATTAACAACATATATTGTTTGAAATTGATGAAAAAGAAACAATAAATTACAATAATTAACAAAATAAATTTCTCGACTCCAACAAATCTATCAATTAATGCCACATAAATTGGGACATGGCAAATAACATATATTATTAAAAAATTAGGTTCAAAATGTACTAAAAAATATAATAATTAACAACTTAATATATTAAAGAGACATATAAAAAAGGGTTAATATTTGAAATTCTGCATCTACCACATAAATTAGAACAAAGAGAGTAATAAATATTATTTTCAAAATTATGTTAAAAAAAAGTACTACAAATCACAATAGCTAACAATTTAAAATATTTTTAAAATCATATAAAAATTTCAATAACTTCTCAAATTCCATAATATGACATAAATTTTAAAAAAAAGTGTTATAAATCATAATAAATAGTACAATATTTCAACTACTTTAAAAGCATTATAAATTGTAATAAATAATACAACAATTTAAATTACTTAAAATTTAACGACTTAAATTTCTTTTTTAAATGTATTAAAATTTTGGTTAATTGTCAAAACTTTACATGTGCCACATAAATTGGGACATGGACAGTCACACATATTTTTTTAAAAAAAATTACATTAAAAGTATTCTATCAATTAACAACATATATTGTTTGAAATTGACGAAAAAGAAACTATAAATTACAATAATTAACAAAATAAATCTCTCAACTCCAACAAATCTATCAATTAATGCCACATAAAGTGGGACATGGCAAATAACATATATTATTAAAAAATTAGGTTCAAAATGTACTATAAAATACAATAATTAACAACTTAATATATTAAAGAGTCATATAAAAAATGGTTAATATTTGAAATTCTGCCTGTGCCACATAAATTAGAACAAACAGAGTAATAAATATTATTTTCAAAATTATGTAAAAAAAAAAAAGTACTACAAATCACAATAGCTAACAATTTAAAATATTTTTAAAATCATATAAAAATTTCAATAACTTCTCAAATTCCATAATATAACACTTAAATACTACATATTAATAAATGACTTAAATACTCCATATTATCTATTACAATAATTAACAATTATTTGACACTTTAAATTCTATCAATGCCATATAAATTAGGATAAAAAACCTAACATATAATATTTAAATATATTTAAAAATAATATAAGTAATACTATACATTACAATAATTAACAGCTTAATTATTTAAAACTTATATAAAAAATTTAATTGACTCTCTAAATTCTATTGGTACCACATAAAATGGATTATATAATAAACATATATTGTTTGAAATTGACGAAAAAGAAACAATAAATTACAATAATTAATAAAAAAAAATAGTCGACGAAATTGACGAAAAACAAATTATAAATTACAATAATTAACAAAATAAATCTCTCGACTCCAACAAATCTATCAATTAATGCCACATAAATTGGGACATGGCAAATAACATATATTATTAAAAAAATAGGTTCAAAATGTACTATAAAATACAATAATTAACAACTTAATATATTAAAGAGACATATAAAAAAGGGTTAATATTTGAAATTCTGCATCTGCCACATAAATTAGAACAAACAGAGTAATAAATATTATTTTCAAAATTATGTTAAAAAAAAGTACTACAAATCACAATAGCTAACAATTTAAAATATTTTTAAAATCATATAAAAATTTCAATAACTTCTCAAATTCCATAATATGACATAAATTAAAAAAAAAAAACTGTTATAAATCATAATAAATAGTACAATATTTCAACTACTTTAAAGGTATTATAAATTGTAATAAATAATACAACAATTTAAATTACTTAAAATTTAACGACTTAAATTTCTTTTTTAAATGTATTAAAATTTTGGTTAATTGTCAAAACTTTACATGTGCCACATAAATTGGGACATAGAAAGTCACAAATATTTTTTTAAAAAAATTACATTAAAAGTATTCTATCAATTAACAACATATATTGTTTGAAATTGACGGAAAAAAAAACTATAAATTACAATAATTAACAAAATAAATCTCTCAACTCCAACAAATCTATCAATTAATGCCACATAAATTGGGACATGGCAAATAACATATATTATTAAAAAATTAGGTTCAAAATGTACTAAAAAATACAATAATTAACAACTTAATATATTAAAGAGACATATAAAAAAGGGTTAATATTTGAAATTCTGCCTGTGCCACATAAATTAAAACAAACAGAGTAATAAATATTATTTTCAAAATTATGTTAAAAAAAAGTACTACAAATCACAATAGCTAAAAATTTAAAATATTTTTAAAATCATATAAAAATTTCAATAACTTCTCAAATTTCATAATATGAAATAAATTAAAATAATAAAATAATATATATTGGGCCCCGTGCTGGCACGGGTCCTATATCTAGTTTAAATAGAATTATCTTAATAGCATGTTCTCCTGCAAATATTCAACAAGTTGATATTAGGAACTTTTAAAAAGTTTTCTCTAAAATGCAAATATTTTTCCCCATATAGCAACTTAATATTTTTTATAGGTTTTTCAATGGGGGTTTGGTATTCATATTGAGATCCGATTAAAATTTAAATTTACGTCGAAAAGTTCCGAAGTGTAAAACGCTCTCTTATAAATATAATTTCATATCTAAAACTCGAATCCGGAATTTCTAATTAAGAATAAAGAGATACTTATTAGTTCCTCACGGCCCATTTTGGTATAGCAAGTTAATGACTTAATGTTAGTGGCGTTGTAATATGTTGAGATGCTATTTATGAGTCTAACTTGATAAATATTGCAATTGAATAATCAACTCCTTTTCACTTTAAAATGCACTTTCTTATTAAGATTAAATTAAAAAAATTCAGATATAGAAATATTCTTCATTCTTCTTTTCAAACAAACTACTAAGATGTCACTTTCCAAACTCATGTCAAGTATTGTTTGTTTTGGTTGAGCAATCACAATTTGTTTCTTGGGCTACTTCAGCATTAATTTCAAAATCACACGGATCATGTGAACTTGTATTATGTATTATTAAGTTTCTTACTTTTCTTCTTTATTTCAACGTGTAACTCACCTGAGATATCAGGTGCACTAATAAAAGTTGGACAATCCCTTATTGTGACTTATGTCATTGTGTCACATACACCAACGTCCTCGCTATGGGACTCAACCAGGGGCTGACCTAGAGGTTGTCGAGGGGTTCACCCGAACCCCCTCGGTAAAAAATTACTATACATTGTATATTTAAGGTATTTTTAAGAATTTTTATGTCTATTTATTGATTTTGAACCTCCAAAATGTAAGATTAAAGATTGACTTAGTGGTTAAGGAGTTCAAAATTCATCTTAAAATTTCAAGATCAAATCTTAGACACTACGTATTATCCGTTTTGACCTAATAGTTACCTGTCACTTTAACCAAAACATATAACAACAGTTATCTGTCACTATAAGTATCAATTCATGAAAAACATTAAAATAGCATATATTTTTTTCCTTTTCTGGCATTGTGTCACAAATTGACAATCAAAACAAAAAAAAAAACTGAAAAACTTGTACAGTCCTAAGCCAAAAAAAAATAAAAAATTGTTTTTACTTCTTCATGACGATGGAATCAATGCATTTGTTTCCTCCATTGTTCTCATTCTCCATTTTTTTCCTCTCTTTTAAAAATCCCTTTTTCTCAAATTCCATTTTGTTACAGTGTGAAATTTGATGTGAAAATGGTGAATCCATCGGATCCGGGTCGGGTTCGGGTTTTGAGTTTGAGCAGTAGTGATCTGTGTTTGAATTCGATCGGGTTTAATGGTAGTGATGGTGGGTTGTTTCTAGAAGATTCGGGTCCGAGATCATTTGTGTCGTTGATTGGGAACCAGGGATTGTGTTCGGAGAGTCGGCGGAGGAGGATCGGATTGGAGGTTCGTGGCGGTACTGGCGGACGGTTTTTGTCGGTGACGGTGTCGATTAACGGCGGAGGGAATGAAGGATTTGAGGAGGATTCCGGTGAAACGGCGGCGGAGAGTGAAATGCAAGTGTGTCGGCGGAGAGTTGAAAAGGTGGAGGAG